TGACAAATCTCTATAACAAATCAAATCAAACTAGGGCAAACCTAACAGTAGACACGTTGCGTACCTATTTTTACTCAGGCCTTCACACAATTTTTTTGTGATGATGAATATATGAATGAAATCATATATGTGAACTGCGGAAATTAAATTAAATGAATAAATGATCATTTATTCATTTAATACAATTTTTTGCTAAGTAAAACTTCGTGCTCTTAAGTCTTACTTAAGTGCCAAGTGTAAAGAGGCCCATTATGTCAGGGTGTTTTGTTGTATAATTCAGGAAGATCTTTGTCGACTTTTGCGCGCTATTCTTATTTAAAAATGCGTCCACTAGCAAAGCTTAAGATATCTTCAAATGACGTTTAGCGAACAATGAAGATTGCGGGAAACAATCTTATGGAGTGTTTTTTAATCATTTCGACGGCTCTGAACTTTAATATTTTACTTTTAGGCTGACAGCTCATGATGCGGTAGAATAGAGACTTTTCGACCGAACCATGCCAACGGGCTTTTTTCTTCCTTATATTGTAATTGTTTTACTTGGGGCCAAGTTAAACATCTCCTCGCCGCAGCTGTTTTTCATTTGAACAAAAGGTCCACCATAATCCTAGGTAAAAATGAATATTCCACTTGAAATATTGCCGGAAGAAGCCCGACATTGTACGAAAAGGGAGCCAGTTAATAGCAATCAAACAAAACTGGTGTTCCTCGGCGACTAAAGATCGCTTACTCCGTGTAAACTGAACTCTACTTAACATGTTCTTAAACAGCACAGAGACAACTACCAATTCTTCAACTAACATCAAGACAGTGTTTTATTGCCAACAACATCCGGACTTCACATGGGACTTTAATAATACCACCCTTCGCTGGATTTTAATCATCATCTTATACATTGCTTCTCCCATCACCTTAATTCTGAATGTTCTGATTATCATAGCTGGACATCAAAGGACAGAACTGCAAATACAATCTAACATCCTGTTGTCTAGCCTGGCCGTTACGGACCTTTTTGTGGGCGCTATAAATATGCCGTTATCTGCCACAGTTGATGTCTTAATTCTCCGCCGGATTTCGTTTGAGCATGTTTGCTTATTAGACTCCCTTAATGTGTACTCGATGTATTGCGTTTCACTTTCATCTCTGTATCATTTGACTGCTATTGCTTGGGAGAGGTACATGGCGATAGTAAAATGGATCGACTACAAGGTTATTGTAACAAGAAGCCGCGTCAAAAAACTTGCGGTAATCAATTGGTTAGCTTCGGTGTTTTTAACAGTTCCGATCTTTGCCACGGAATTGGCCGGTGTGGACCCGAAGATCGTAGAAAAACTGTACACCATGGGTGCTGTGTGTGGAACAGTTGCCTTAATAGCTCTAGTGTATTTTTACGTCAAGGTGTACCTCGGAGTACGCAAACGTAAAATAGGCCAAATCAGGCAGGTCACCACTCTAGTTACCCTCGAAAGTTGCCAAGACAACTGCGTTACTAACCACAGCAGTGATTTTCGCGTTTATTCCAGGAATTATTAACCGGGCGGCCCTGGGACCGACCCGGTTAGTGTTTTAGGCCGAGTTTTTTTCTTCTAGGTGATTCACCCCGTATCCCAACTCCGCCAAAGCGTTAGGAGGAGAGCTAGGGGAGAGTATAAATATATATTCGCCTTGTGAAAGTTTTTCTCGGGGAGGAACTAAGCCGGACTTGAGAGAGCGGCGGAAATCGAGCCTATGTGAAAGTTGGACTGGTCCAAATAAATATTAATTTAGGCCCGCGTAAACACATCGGAGCGACCTACAGATTTCGCAACGTCGGTGAGTTTGACTCGTCAAAATATCAAATCATTGTACTCACTACTGGGTGGACACACTAGGAGCGCCATTAGATCAAATTTGTTATCAAGGCTACCTTACATTTCGCCAGGGTCATGAATATTGTCCTGTTTGTTTTGTGCCTGAAATACATTTCTTTTCCGTAAAGGAAAACAGAAACTTGCTCAGACTCGCAGATTTATGTCAACGGAAACTTGCTGAGACGTGTAGATTTATATTTGGACGATTACGTCATAGGGTCACGTCGAATCGTGACTTGAAGAGATTGTCTGTGAGGTGCGTACGTACATCACATACACTAGAAGCGCCATTAGCTGATCTAATTGATATTTTATGAATATTGTCCTGTTAAATAATTGTCATTTTGTGTGAAATACATATCTTTTCCGTATATTTCTGAACAGAAACTTGCTGAGAAATGCAGATTTATAAATAAGGACGATTACGTCATGGGGTCACATAAGTCACGTCTAACCGTGACTTGAAGAGATTTCGCAACGTCTGTGATAAACCAGGGTCGCCGTTAGGTCAAATTTCATATCAAGCTATTACTTTTGATTTGTACATGAATACTCTGCTGTCTATTTAGTGTGAAATACATTACTTTTTCGTGTTGGTGCAGCAATTCACTTCCTTGTACGCAGAAGATTTATAAATAACAATCATTACGTCACAATATCACATTTTGACTCACGCAATTTGTCGAACTGTGACTAGAATAGCTGCGAATGATGATGGTGCAACGCGGAACGTCTGCGATTGATGGTTCAACAACGATTCGTACCTATGTTGTCGTGTTTTTTCCTCTTATTCAACTCTGGCTTTATATTGAGGAATGATCTTCAAAGCCTGCTCAGAGGCAAGAAAATTGACAGTAGGCACTATACGCAAACATCAGACTTCAGCGTGACTGCCGTGACTAATCTGATAGATTTCAAGCAAGAAAGCAGGTAAAACTGATTTCTTGCTTGATAAAAAAAGCCCGGTTATATTTTCTTCGAAAATTCTTGTTTTCTTTATCTTGGGAGCGATATTCCCATCCCTTCCTATAAATGTAACTTTTCGATTGTGGGATTCACTGGTTCTATTAAACTCTCTGATAAACCCTATACTATACTGCTATAGAGACCGCCGTTTTAGGAACGCCGTGATAGAAATGTTACGAATGAGAAAACCTCAAGTAACCCAACCAGCAGTGGTACCGCGCGATATGTCAGACGAAAGAACCTATTTGCTGCAGAGGAAGATGTCCAGGGGCTGCAAAATGTGGACAAACCTACCTGCTTGATAAGTGCATAACTTATTTTTAACAACAGTTGAACGTCTTCAACGATGAAATGCCAACCTGCTGTGACATTTTCGCTTTTCTCTGGCCACAGTAGCTGGCTTTGCGTAGCAGCGCGCGCATTAAAAATGGTTCAACGTGATTGGCTACTGGTTCGCAGGAAAATGATCTAAAAATAGCCTAGCCATAGACATCTGATGTGGTCATTTTAGACAGCAATAAATAAGTCAGTTAACCATAAGTGATTTCATTACTTTTTAATTTGTTTATTAAAATTAATTATACTCTTGTGCAAGGCATAATATTCAACCGTTTGACAGAGTGAGTACTAAATGAATGCGACATAAATCTGGGCCCGGTTGTTCACAAGGCGGTTGGTTCGGTTAACGCTGGTTCGGGATTAAACATTAAATTCCACTTGTTCGATGCGCTTCACAGCTGATTTCAAGTTATATTTCGAGATAAATATTAAACAATAACGTACTGGGCCCAGTTGTTCGAAAGCCGATTAACGCTAATCCAGGATTAACAAATAATCTTGGTTTCAATTTCTCCTATATAAATGTGGTTTTCCATGACAATGTTTTGTGGAGTTTGACCTTAGTCAAAGTCAAAACTGAAGAGCAAACAATGTAAACAGAAAATCTCACTGAAAAGTTACAAAACTGAAATCAAAATTCACGCTAATCCAGGATTAGCTTAATCGTGTTTTGAACAACCGGGCCCTGAATTCGAAGTCAAAATTAATCGTGAATTAACTTAATCCTGCCTTGAGAAATCGGCCCCAGGTCTGGATAGTAACATTGCATTACAATTGTGACGAAATAACTTTACATGTTGAGTGAATTCGCTAGACATCGTGTAATTTTTATAGTATTTTGTTTGTAATGTAATGTAATTTTTAGTATTTTGTGATATTTAAGTTTAGGTGTCCCCGATTAGTGGGCCTTTTGGCACGCTAGAAGACTTCGACACATTAATAAAGTTGTTATTATTATTAATAAAATAAATACATAATTTGTATTCAATTTTCGTAAGAAAATAAGGAAGTTAATCTTTGTAGAATATACATGTTCAAGATTACAGTGATTAGCTGTCATCTCAAACGATTGACAACTTTTTTACTTTATTTATTGTTTTACCCTATCAGTGGCCTATGTTAATAACATCCATCCATGGAAGGGATTAGAGTTAATGTTATCAAACAGAATCCTGTTAGGGACTGTGCAATAATTACCAGGGGGGGGGGGGGGTTGGAAAACCAGAGGGGGAGGGGGGCATAAAGTAAAATCAAAGCAAGGATAGGGGGGGGGGGGGCTCAAGGTAAAATAAGTCACTCAAGAGAGGGGGGTTTAACATTTTATTTCAAGTACATATTACATTGGTGAATCCATACCTATTTATAAGATGGGAACCAAAACATTTTCCGGGCCATCGGGCTGAAAATAACACACATGCTCTTTTCCTTCTGCTATGGTTCTGTTGAACATTGCTACAGGGGTAATGTTTGTTCCAGACGCGGATGTCCAACAATTAAACATGTAGTAGGATGTATGTAAAGGTGTGTATACTGGAAGGGGGGGGGGGGGGGAGGGTCGTACATAATATCTGACTGATTAGAGGGGGGGCAATAACTAAATTCACTCCTTTAGGAGGGGGGTATTACCTAATGTTTGGCTACATGAAGCCCATTTTCCAACCCCCCTCCTGATAATTATTGCACAGTCCCTTACTTCCAAGTTTGCAGCTCAAGATAAATATATAAATATCCCCAAACACTAGTGTGAACTTGCTCCTTTAACACTGAACAACAACAACAAATTGAGAAAGATATCAGTCAGTGAGTCACATTTGAACCTAGTTATATGGACTAAGCTCCAACGAGTCTCCTATAACTCAGTGGTAGAGCGTCCGACCGGTGTGTGGAAGGTCATAGGTTCGACTCCTGTTAGGGAACTCGGAATTATATTTTTCCGAGTAGCATGTGTCACTGACTGAATAATAATTATCTTTCTCATATTTCTACCAAGCTTAAAATATACCATCATTTCTTTATACGACAAATTCAGTGCAACAAACTCCAGTCCAGGCAACAAGTGCACGCAGAATTTTCAGTGAACACTTTAATAGGCGTGGTTACTATGCAAACTTTCTGACCACGAAACAATGACCGTGGGCTCAGTTAACAGTCTGTTACAAGGAATCAATCTGCACTTGTTTCCTTGTCTGACAATAAAGTTAAGTTGCGTTGCTTAGCAACTCCACTGACCAAGTAGTTCTTGGCTTCTCCAGAGCTGTTTTCTAAGGAACACGTAAAACCACCGTAAAAGTATTTTTGACAGAGCGGGCAAACACTACGCGGGAAATAAATGTATCAGTACAGTAGATCCCCGCTATCTCGAACTCTCAAGAGAAACAAAATATTGTTGGGAATAGCAGAGGTGCTGTCAAATTTCATAATTTTCAACAAAACTGAACTGGTATACAAATCACCGACCTGTCAGTGCTCCCAGAGTCATACAATATTACCAAATCATACTCTTTACAGCAGGGGCTTACAGTATTATGTAAGTGTTTTTTTTCTCATTTTTTCTCGTGCTTATGTCAGAGTTTAAACACCATGGGATACTACTGTCAGCGAACACTGTCAATTAATTCAAGCCTCTTCTTTTAACAAAATTCATTAGAATTTTGTGCAACGTTGTTTCGTGTAGTCATTCAATCAATGCCCTCTTAGTCAATGTCTTAATTACTACAGTTCGAGATTCGAGATAATAATTTAGGCCAAGGAAAATCACACTTTGTACAAGATAGCTGGGGATTCGAGAACCGAGTTCGAGATAGCCAATGTATGACTGAAAAACAGTAAGCAAAACCAATGGAAACGGGTTTCAGTTCGAGTTTGAGATAGTGGGTCTACTGTATTTATTTATTTATTGTTCATTCAACATGATTAAACACTTGTTTCATACAACAATTTTTCTTTCTCTGCGGACGAACCTCTTCTAATTATTGGTGAGATTGATCCGCAACTCTCATTACTCGGTTGTTGTAATGGACTTAGCTCATCCGGGAATCGAGGGAACGTATCCACGTCACAGTCATCACTGAGTTCATGTCTTGAGAAGTATGCTTGACGCGCTACTTCATGTAAGTTAGTCGCCAAATGTGCGCTAGTGTGTTCCACCATATTTGAAAATAGACTGTCCTTATTTTGGAGCAGCAGATAAGGTTCGTCAAATTCAATTAGTTTTCCTTCATCTAGAACCTGCCAATACAAAACAGTATATAAACAATTGATTAAGGGTTAAAGTCTTTACCAAACCCGTGGATCAGGGGGAGCCAAGTAGCTCATCAATGCCGGCGCTTAACTCAGGATTCTGTGGCATGAGGTGACTAGGAGTATTGCTACTCCCCCCTGGATGGGATGCTCACACCGCTAGGGCCTCGGGCTAGGATAAAGGTCATGTGACATCAAACGAAAGACGCATACTTATTGTGTTTAGTGTTTATAGCATTTCCTACAGATATCTTGTAACAGCGGTATGTTTTAGCTTTTGATTTAGCACTGTAATATGTTTTGTAAAGTTATTGTTGGGAGAATAAAGGTCAGGCTTGAGGTGGTCGGCTTGACATGGCTCCAAATAGTGTGCAAGAACATGTTTACAACGTAAAGGTGGATTTCCGCAAGAGGGAAAGAGAGTTTGCAAGGGAATTTTGGGGCGGCATTCAAAATTCTGAGGCAGCCTTGCAAGCTCTCTTTCCCTCTATCCCACCCCCACCCCCAAGATAGCTTGTTCGGTATGAACGCCTTGCATATGTGGAGAAAGTCGATCCTTCCGTGATTTTGTTTGGATTTTTCAGTGTGCGAGATTGTTTCGTGAGATAATAAATGAAAGATACATACTAACCAATACTCTGTCAGAGTCCATAATGGTGTTTAGTCTGTGAGCGATAGTTAGCACTGTGCAATGTTGAAATTTGCTACGTATTGTCTCTTGGATTAAGGCATCGGTGCTGAGGGAAAGAATAGCAATAATTTAAATGAAATTAAAACACATTTCGACCTATCTTTGCCATATCTAGCCTGCGTGGCAGGCGTAGAAAGGGGAGGGAGGAGGGGCATTCAGGCGCGAGCGCGAAGCCCCCTTCTCCCTCCCCTTTCTACGCCTAAAGAGGCCAATAACCGGTCAACAGGCAAAAATTGACCAGAACAAATGTAACTTGTGACAGTTTAATTACGTTATTCTCGCGGGCAACATTGATATATATACCTATGATCCACATTTGCTGTTGCTTCGTCAATGATTAATATTTTGTTGTGTTTCAGGACCGCGCGTGCTAGGCACACAAGCTGCCGCTGACCCACGCTGAAATTTGACCCTCCTTCGGTTAGTTTAGTTTCCAGTCCATCTGGTAGATCTGTGACCGTTTCCTTTAGTTGCACCTGAAAGAAGAGATATCACGAGGCAAGTGAAAACAATCCTTTGAAAACAATCGGCATGAATCTCTAGTTGAAATTTACAGGGTCGTCATTTGTTCTACTGTTTTTTTTTGTACATTATATAAATAATATTAAATAATTTAATAGGCCATCTCCGAATTGCCTTTTGCTTGTTTCAAAACGAGTCCTGGTGCACAACCTTTCATATGGAAATGCACGTTTATTGTATTGCAAATAAAACTCATATTTCATATGAAAGCTTGTGCACCAAGACTCGTTTTGAAACAGAGGCAAAAGGCAAAAGGCAACTCGGAAATGTCTATACTTTGTTAAGTTACAAGTACAACACATAATTGTTTCAAGGCACAAACCTCTCTAAGTGTCACAGGTTTGTTAAGTTGTTCAGATACAACTGCGGTCGGGAGAATAACTGCTGTTTTTGGTAAATTCTCGAAGTAGCACTCGAAGAGTTTCCAATGCTTATTGTCCAATCAGAAAACAATGCGAATACTCCCGAACATTTACGACGGTTTTTGCTAAGCAACGTCATGTTACTTAGTAACTTATCTGATGAAAAACGTAGGCTCAGTCGGTACTCGATCTCTCGAATAATTGCATTTCTATTAGATACAAACCTCTTCTAAAGCATTCCACAATTCATTGTCCCCGTATTGATTGAAAGGATCCAAATTTTTCCGAAGACTTCCGCTGAAGAGGATTGGGTCCTGAATAACAAGAAGAAAAAATATTTTGAAGTAAAATTTTCTCTGAAGTAGAAAGAAAACACATTTTACCTATTAGGTTGGTTTTTGCAATGACGTCTACTTTATTAAATCAATTGTGTATTTTACTTCATTTTGTGTTTGGTTAGGCCAAGGGGAGCAAAATTGTGCGAAGAACCAAAAGAATGTCTTCACAGGAGGCCATTGTTTCCTAAACTAAACGATTTTATCAAGAAACTCGTCAGAGGAACGTGCAGGAACCAATGACGTTGTCTTGTTTACTAATGACGCAAAAACCCATAACCCTTTTCAAAGATTCTACGACTGCAACTGGCGTATTTACGACTGATTGGCGTATAGAGCGGTTTTCAATTGACTGTCGAAAGTAATCGCAGAATTGCATTGGTTTTGCTTTACTACATTCTATGATTGGTTTGAAAAACTCGCGCCACCTACTTAACCAATCAGATGCAAAACTGAAACCAATCGCTACTTGGAAGCACGCGTTTTCCCGCGCTTGGCGTCGGTTACGCGTATGTGCTTCTCATTGGTCATTGTGTTGTTTACGTTTGTTGTGATTGGCCATTGTGATTACTTTGGTTTTGGTTTCACGACACTCAATTAAAAAGCGCTCTAGCTACTCTACAAGGATTTAGTTATAAGTGTGTTTACCTGAGGAATAATGGACAAGTTGTTTCTCAAGTCACGCAATGAAATATCCGTGATAGGTACAGCATCTATCCGAATAGTGCCTTCCGGTTCCGCCAGTCTGAACAAAGCGGCCATTAATGACGATTTACCAGCTCCAGTTCTACCAACAATACCGACCTTGAAGAAATACAAATTAACAGTCATCACAATCGAGCTAAAAATTTGATATTGCAGTTTCATTTGAGGGAAGTGTTCTTTGTGGAACAGGAACCATCTTACCTTTTCTTGCGCTCTGATGCAGAAATTCAATCTCCTCAAGACATAAGGCAGTGTGTGATGATGAGTATAATAAAATCCCTCAAACGTAATTATCCCGTACTGTGGCCAACTCTCTGGTACAGCGACAGTTCCATCATGAGGTTGGGTTTCCTGTTCCAGGTTGGAGTACTCGATAACACGTTCAACAGAAGTCATCTATAGGATAACAACATGGATTTATCAGTTAACAAATGCTACATCACGAGGAGTACAAAAGACGGCAATTCCAGGTGTTACTGATTTTTGAGAATCTCAGTAAAACAAAATTCAGTTAACTTCTGTACGGTGGCAGAACGTCTCAGTGAGATGTGATAACTAAGAGAGCAGTGTAGACTCAAACCACTGTTTACTGCATCCAAGTGGTCCAGGGGTCGAATTTAAGAACGTACTGAGAGAACTGGAGAGCAGAGGTGCCCCAAATACACATTTTACTGAGAAGAGCAAAATCAGAAAAATTTCGGCCAAAAGTTTGCAAAGCAGGAATCTTCCAAAAAACGTTCAACTTTCAATTCTTCATCAACTAAAATAGTAAATGTATAAGTACCATACAAATGAGAAGAAAGTTTATTTATTTTGCTTTGCTCTTCTCAAGTTCGATGGCTTGTTCTTGTTCTTGCTTCGACTGCGCTTCTCGATGGAATCCCGGTTTAACGTTCTTATACAAAAGTTCTGCTCTCGCAAATATCCTGACAGATTTTGACTTTCTTTTGCCACTCAAACAGTAGTTTGGATGTACTAACAAACTGTGACACATGTTCAAAAACACAAACTAGTAATACGACACTCGCACATCCTCGCGAAGCTCGGGGGAGTGTTTTTTTG